TGGCGGCTCCCCACTTATGCAAATGAAGCCCGGGAAATTCAAATCCCGGGCTTCATTTGCAAGTGCGGTATGCATACATTACCCCGCTAGTTCGAACTAGCGGGGTAGTGTAGACATACCCTTTGTGATTAGGGGAGTGGCCCTTATAAAACAAAAAAATACTGAGACAGAAATTTCCCCAAACATTCAAGTAACTCTGTGGTAAGTGGGGTAGACTATTGACATAGAATGGGATGGTGTTTCTTCATGAGGACAGCAACTGCATATCCTGCAACATGATCTATGCCAGCAATGCCCCACTGCCATGCATATTGGCCAAACTGGATAGCTTTTACCACCAAGGATAAATGGACACAAATCAGACATCAGGAATGGTAACACAAACTTGTAGGGGAACATTTTAACCACCCTAGGCTCTCAATCATGGATTTAAAAGTAGCCATTTTTTTAAACAAATGAATTTCACAAGCCAACTACAGAGAGAGAGTGGAGAATTGACCTTCATTTGAAAATTAAGTCACAGACATCAGGAATGGTAACACAGAAACTTGTAGGGGAACATTTTAACCACACTAGGCTCTCAATCATGGATTTAAAAGTAACCATTTTTTTTTAAAACAAAGGAATTTCACAAGCCAACTACAGAGAGAGAGTGGAAAATTGACCTTCATTTGAAAATTTGACACTGTTTCCCTAGGCCTGAACAAAGTCATTAACTGGATGGTCCATTATAAAACCAGCTTTCCTTACATTTAACATCTCATTGACATCAAAAGTTAAGTATGGGACACTTCCAGTCCACTCATTTGGCTTCATTAGCACCAGCATTACAATTGACAGGTACCTTGTTTCCCCCACCCCCTCCCTTCTTTTTCTGTTATGAGTCTGAGTCCCTCTTTTTTCTCCACTCAAGCTCATCTGAAGAAATGGGTTTTGCCCATGAAAACTCATGATCCTATATTATATAGATATTTGTTAGTCTTTAAGGTGCCACAGGACTTCTCGTTTTTATTGCTGCTGAAAGACTTCTCACCCATACTAACTACTAGACAATTAAAAACTCCATTTTCCTGTGTAGGCACACTCACCACCCCCAAAATGGATTTCTACGATCCTCCCTTTCAAACAGTCACGCTTGATTATTCAGCGGGGGTTGGAGCTTGGTTTAGCATAATTAAGTGACCCTCTCCAATTATTTGACCTCTTTAAATGCCAATATAGGAACAGAAAGACACCAACAGCTTCACAATGCAGCCTGAAAGCAAAATAGTCAACAAAGGGCTCCAGCCCTGCAAAACACGTTAGCAGCTATTAGACTTCAGGCTTCATTTTTGTGATGGGTGGTCCGTGGAAATGATTTTCTCCTCCCACTCCCTTCCACCAACAGTCAATCCAGTAACACCATCACAAGGCAAAGCGACCTCTCTCAACATCTAAACAGGGAACAAAGCTAATGGAAGCCAAGTAGTTTAATCATTATATCTAGAGGCACCAAAGATGCCAACCATATAGCAAATCCCCCTTTGACATTAAGTTTGTCATTTTATAGCACAAAGGGACATTAAAAAGCAATCCATTTTTATTTCCCACCAGGGTTATAATGGTCATAAACCTGTCAGTCCATCAGCAGTTTGGGTTATACTCCATTAAGTGTACATGTGAGGAGGACTAGCTTTATGGAGAGATCTACAAAATTACTAAACTTTGAATCCTTTAAAGTCAGGAACAGTAAAAATAATAAACTCAGGACCTATAACTTCTAGCATCAAAATGCCCCATATTGATAGCGCAGATTGTGCTTGTTATTTTGTGCTGTCCTTTGTGTTTTCCCACACACAGAGTAGTCATATTCTTCCAGTCCCAAGTTCATTTCTTTTAGATTAAGGAAAATAAAAGACCAGAAGTGCATTTTCCATCTTGGAGCATGGCGGCTCCCCACTTATGCAAATGAAGCCCGGGAAATTCAAATCCCGGGCTTCATTTGCAAGTGCGGTATGCATACATTACCCCGCTAGTTCGAACTAGCGGGGTAGTGTAGACATACCCTTTGTGATTAGGGGAGTGGCCCTTATAAAACAAAAAAATACTGAGACAGAAATTTCCCCAAACATTCAAGTAACTCTGTGGTAAGTGGGGTAGACTATTGACATAGAATGGGATGGTGTTTCTTCATGAGGACAGCAACTGCATATCCTGCAACATGATCTATGCCAGCAATGCCCCACTGCCATGCATATTGGCCAAACTGGATAGCTTTTACCACCAAGGATAAATGGACACAAATCAGACATCAGGAATGGTAACACAGAAACTTGTAGGGGAACATTTTAACCACACTAGGCTCTCAATCATGGATTTAAAAGTAACCATTTTTTTTTAAAACAAAGGAATTTCACAAGCCAACTACAGAGAGAGAGTGGAAAATTGACCTTCATTTGAAAATTTGACACTGTTTCCCTAGGCCTGAACAAAGTCATTAACTGGATGGGTAAGTCTTATATGGCGAGTATAAGACGAAAACCTATGTTTTAATTAGAAAATTAGGGGGTCGTCTTATACGCCCAGTCGCCTTATACACCGGAAAATACGGTACCTTGTTTTCCCCCTCTCTCCCTTCTTTTTCTGTTATGACTTTTAACATCTCATTGACATCAAAAGTTAAGTATGGGACACTTCCAGTCCACTCATTTGGCTTCATTAGCACCAGCATTACAATTGACAGGTACCTTGTTTCCCCCACCCCCTCCCTTCTTTTTCTGTTATGAGTCTGAGTCCCTCTTTTTTCTCCACTCAAGCTCATCTGAAGAAATGGGTTTTGCCCATGAAAACTCATGATCCTATATTATATAGATATTTGTTAGTCTTTAAGGTGCCACAGGACTTCTCGTTTTTATTGCTGCTGAAAGACTTCTCACCCATACTAACTTCTCGTTTTTATTGCTGCTGAAAGACTTCTCACCCATATACTGCTTACTAGACAATTAAAAACTCCATTTTCCTCTGTAGGCACACTCACTGCCCCCAAAATGGATTCCTGCGATCCATACTAACTACTAGACAATTAAAAACTCCATTTTCCTGTGTAGGCACACTCACCACCCCCAAAATGGATTTCTACGATCCTCCCTTTCAAACAGTCACGCTTGATTATTCAGCGGGGGTTGAAGCTTGGTTTAGCATAATTAAGTGACCCTCTCCAATTATTTGACCTCTTTAAATGCCAATATAGGAACAGAAAGACACCAACAGCTTCACAATGCAGCCTGAAAGCAAAATAGTCAACAAAGGGCTCCAGCCCTGCAAAACACGTTAGCAGCTATTAGACTTCAGGCTTCATTTTTGTGATGGGTGGTCCGTGGAAATGATTTTCTCCTCCCACTCCCTTCCACCAACAGTCAATCCAGTAACACCATCACAAGGCAAAGCGACCTCTCTCAACATCTAAACAGGGAACAAAGCTAATGGAAGCCAAGTAGTTTAATCATTATATCTAGAGGCACCAAAGATGCCAACCATATAGCAAATCCCCCTTTGACATTAAGTTTGTCATTTTATAGCACAAAGGGACATTAAAAAGCAATCCATTTTTATTTCCCACCAGGGTTATAATGGTCATAAACCTGTCAGTCCATCAGCAGTTTGGGTTATACTCCATTAAGTGTACATGTGAGGAGGACTAGCTTTATGGAGAGATCTACAAAATTACTAAACTTTGAATCCTTTAAAGTCAGGAACAGTAAAAATAATCAACTCAGGACCTATAACTTCTAGCATCAAAATGCCCCATATTGATAGCGCAGATTGTGCTTGTTATTTTGTGCTGTCCTTTGTGTTTTCCCACACACAGAGTAGTCATATTCTTCCAGTCCCAAGTTCATTTCTTTTAGATTAAGGAAAATAAAAGACCAGAAGTGCATTTTCCATCTTGGAGCAGTGTTTATGTCTCCTCTGTGCAGCTTGCTACAGAGGCTGCAGGACATCGAAAAAGTAAAACAACATCTCTCTTATAGAATACTTTTCATCGGTGGATCTCAAAATGTTTCACAATTGGAGGTCAATTTCACTTTCCCCATTTTAAAGATGGGGGAAACAGAGGGGCAAAGTGGCTTGCCTAAAGTCAACTATTAGGCCAGAGGCATAGCCAGGAATAAAACTGATGTCTCTGAGACCCAGGGCAGTGTTCAATCATCTGCCCCCCACCAAAGTTTTTAGAACTGTCAGGTGCAATACACAGATGATAAAGATGCCACCATTTCACAGCAACATACCCACAACAAAGCTACCTTGCTTCATCGAGTAACAAGGCACTTGGCCTGCAGACTTCCACGTGGTGTCTGGTTTGCATCTCCGTCTGTGTCCATGAAACATTTTGGGTATGGGACAGTAATTCCTCATTTAACACGTGTCCGCTTAACACGTTTTCAGATAGCACGATTTTTTTTTTTAGGGAACTTTTTTTAATTACACGACCATCCCCGGAAGAACACAATTTCCCCAGCTAGTCCGTTGCCGGCGGCATCACAGGGCTTCCCCCGCCTCCCTGCAAAGCGGCGGAGGGTTTGCTGCTCACCACGCCGTTCCCCGCTGACTCCCCCTCGCCGGGCCGTCTTCCCCCCTCTCCTCTGCCCCCACTTGCAGGCCAGCGGCTAGGTTTCCCCAGCTGGCCCGTTGCTGGCAGCTGCGCAGGGCTTCCCTCGCCTCCTTGCAAAGCGGTGAAGGGTTCGCCGCTTGCTGCGCTGTTCACCAGCAACCCCCCCTCGCCGGACGCAGTGCAGGTCCCGGCAGACCCATCACAGGGGCATACTCCCAACCCAATCCCCCTCCCCTCTCCTTCCCTTCCCTAGAGCCAAACACCTCCCCTCCCTGCTGTAACCCAGTCCCCTTTCTCCCCCAATCTTATGTCCCAGTCCCACAAGACACCACTGCTTGAAACGCAACCCCCACCTTTTCCATTATTTTCAATGGGAAAATTGACCCCGCATAACACATTTTCACTTAACTCCATCATTTTCTGAAACATCTATAGTGTTAAATGAGGAAATACTGTATTTGAGAGACGAGGCTACAGTTTAAATAAAAGCATGCATCTAAGCTGCAAACCAAAAAACATGAAACCTCATACATCACGAGGGTAGCTGTACAAGCAGTTGGTAATTTCCCACTGGCAAATTACAAGGTGCGTATGCAGTTACTTGTTTAATGTGCACAACAGCATGCTTCAGGTGCACAAATTCGGCTATTTTTAAAAAAAGATAAAAGACAGTATTGTTTTTCCCCCTTGAGCATGGCATTCAACAATTAGAATTATTGAGTCTCTCACATGCACCAATTTTTTTTTACAGAACTCTGGAAGTGTAAAAGGACTTTCAAGCAGATATACACATGTTCAAAAACTTCAGAGGGGTAGCCAATTTAGTCTGTAACTGGAAAAACTTAAAACACAACAGTCTAGTAGCCCCTTACGGACTAACAAAACACGTAGATGGTCTCATGAGTGTTCATGAAATGAGGCATTCAGAAAACATTCATGTGCATGTTACAGTATCAATGTGTTGAATTTATTTAGCTTTGCATGCATGTTTTTGCAGGCCTCAGCAATCACAGGAGTAATTGTGTGTGCACCAATGCTGTTTGCATTACACGGTTTTGTGTTATGAATTCTCATTTGGGTTTGGTTCCTTTTACACTATAGATGAGCCAACACACAATCTTGGATCTGTTTTTGGACCCTAGAACTAAGCACAGTAACTAGGTGTGCCATATAGATACCTGAGGAATGTGTGTTGATACCAACTACTCATACGCAAACAAAACCAGCCACACACACACCCCCCAAAAAACCCTTGTATTATATTTTCTCCTAGGCTATGGCATTGGCCTTCCCCCAAACTCTCCACTGACCTCAAATATATCTGAGTTGATCAGCCAATACAAGTCTCATGGCTTCATGGACGTGCTGCATGACAAGTGGTACAAGGTAGTACCATGTGGAAAAAGAAGTTTTGCGGTCACTGAGGTAAGCAACGTATTTAGTGGTCACAGAAACAACAGTGTCCGGAGTTTGCGCTGGCTGCTTGTTGTTTGGAAGGTTCATGGTACATAGACAAGAGTCTCTGGCTGGAAGAGGTTACAATCTAAGACAGGGATCCTCAACTTATTGCATGGGGGCCCACTGGGATAATCCACAGGCGGGATACAAGGCTGTTTACATTAAACATTTGCAGGCACGGCCCCCTGCAGCTTCCAGTGGCCATGGTTCACCACTCCCGACCAATGGGAGCTGCGGGATGTGGCAGCTACCCACTGTCTACTCTGGGCCCCAGTCCTGGGATCCTGTAGGTAGCAGCTATCTGTAAGGCCTTCTAAATAATTGCATTGCTGCTATAATTCCCTGGCCCACTTCCCCATGATGGCAGCATCTTCTTCACCCTTACCTCAGAGCCACGCCCTAGTGGAGTCCCAGCAAGAAGCCCAGAGCACCATCTTCTCTCCTCAGGGACTGAATTCCCTCTGTCCCAGCAGCTCTTATGCTGTTAGGCTGCAGAGCCCTGATGGCTTGGGTCCCACATAGCTACTGCAGGCAGCATGGGGGACCACTCTACTGTCCTTTTCTGGGATGGGGTGTGGCAGGACCACTAGAACTCCAGCAGGGGACCTCCGTGCCTAATCATCCACCCCATCACAGGTCTTTTTATTCTACAATGGGCATCTCATCTTTAGAGCCCTGCAAATCTGCAGGTATCCGCTTTATATCCACAGGTACGAATGCAGATATCCGCGGCTCATTTTTGCAGATCTAGATACAAAATTTGTATCCATAACCCTGAAAATCTGTGGATGTCCACTTTATAATCTGCAGGTATCCATATCTGTGGATAGGGATGCGGGTATCCGTGGCTCATTTTTGCCGATAGATGTGGATACACATTTTCTATCCACGCAGGGATCTACTAATATAAATGAGAAGAGAGAATTTTTCTTGAGAATATAGAAAGGTTAAAAGATTAAAAAGTGAATTTTAAAGAATTGGTCTTGAGGAACCTAAAAAGAGCTTATAGCTTAGACGTTATGTTTATTGTGTTCCAAAGTGCTCGACCCTGACACTAGCTATATACTCCAGCTCACAGGAAGTACACAGGGATGGATCCACTGTCCCTGCCTCATCTCATTCAGACCAACCCTACCCCAGCTCTCAGTGTTACCTGGGGGAACATAGAAGCTTAGCTTTGGAAGAGACTTCATGTCACCTCGTCCCACCGCCTGCCTGAAGCAGAACCAACTCCAGCCAAATCTGGGATATGGAAGAGTGACCAGACATTTCTACAATAACCTGATTTTTGTGGGATTTCCATTTCTCCAGTTCTGCAGGCCCAAGTGATTCAGAGGCGCATCTAAATTCCTTGGTCTAACAGAACCACTGACGCTATTGGAGATTTATTGCTATTAGCATGTTCTAGACACTGGCCCAAACAGCCAGAAACAAACATCCTCAAACTTTGGTGGAGCGTGTATCTGACTCCATATCTACATTTTGCAGCTTGCAGCAGTGTTCATTATTGTCATAAATGTCAACATGAACCTAATTAACACTTCTTTAAGTGAGCAAAATTGACTGTTTCTTCTATAAAACCTATTATTCTTTTCTGACTAATGTTCAGCCCTATTCCAGAAAAATAGATTTCAGGGGCACGGGGAAGCTTATTGCAGGCAACCTTTGATCCAGTTTATCAGTAGACTGTATTTGTATCCAAAGGGAAATATTCTTATGGGGAAAGGCTAGTTTTTAATACAGCATATCTACTCTTGACAGTCTGTTCCTTCTGTAACCCTCCTGTTACTTTACATTTGAAAACAAGTCTATTGAACTAACCCTGATCAAGATTGCCAATAGGCAATGGCTGTTAATTAGCACAAGTGGCTTTAAAATTGAAAACCCTTGTCTGCCAGGAACAAAAAGTGAGACTTTTGAGTGCTTCCCTACTGAAGAGTTTAATGGCTTATTAAGCTTTTGCATTCTAAAGAGAGCAGCCGGGTTTCAAGTACATCTGACAAGTCTCCTTTTAAGCAGCCCTGTGGAAGGTTTGCCATGGGTGCAAGGCAATGTTTATTTTCGCCCCCGTACGGAACTGCATTGAGCATGGAGCCAGAAAAAAGAAGCTTCATTAAATTGAATTTCAGAGTTTGTGACTAAGGAGTTTCATCTTTAGCACATGCATCTGACGAAGTGGGTCTTTGCCCACGAAAGCTTATGGTTCAACACTTCGGTTAGTCTATAAGATGCCACAGGACTTCTCGCCGATCATTCAGCACAGTAGCTCTGTGGCCCTTAGCAATGGGAGTTTCTTAATGTAGTACCCAGAGGCCTGAGGCTAGAACTCTCCCTGGAGCAGAGAATCTCAGGTTAGTGAAATGCTCTTTAGCCTCTTCCCTGGTTATAATGACAAGAAAATGGATGAATTGAACGACTTCAGTGTCTGATTCGCAGAACGCCTAACCTCTGTCAGCCTCCATCTCTCTTGCACCTGCTTCCTGTTCGAGATTTTTAGGATTCACCTATAAGTGAATGTGGTGCTGTGCTGTACTGATCCTGGCACTCATCAGGGCTGTTAAAAAACACTCTGGAGCTGCTGGACATTGGAGTTTTACTCCTCCTTTCCACTTTCACCCAGGCACAGATGGAATTACAGGCAGCCCCATGGGGCTGCTCAGACTTTGCACTATATGGGGCATGGCCAGCTCTCTCTCATGACACTCAGTTCACTTTCATGAAGTCCACGGGCATTCTGGTTAGGGATGTTAAATATCAGTTAATTGAATAGTTGAGTAACCTCATGAATTCTTATCGGTTAGTCGACTATTCTATAGTCTCTGGGGGCGGGGCCAGCAGGAGCGTGGGGTGCCAAGTGGGAGCTAGCCCGCAAGGGGAGCCAGTTGAAAAACCAGCTCCTCTTGCGGACCAGTTGCTTGTCACCTGTGCTGCTGCTTCTGATAAAGAGGCAGCAGTGTGGGATGGCAGCAGCCCCTGTCTGGGGAGAGGGGGAGTTTAAGCTCCCAGACCCAGTGCGAACAGGAACTGAGCCAGGCTGCCTACCTGCCTGGCTCCTAATACACTTTAAATGAAGAGCTGCAGTGAGGGTAGGTCCCAGCCCCGGCGTGAGCCAGAACTCAGCTGGGCTGCTGGCCAGCCTGCTAAAAAATTTACTGGTGGCAGGGGGGGAAGGGCAGGGGACATGTTTGTAGTCTATAGCATTAACCTATAAGCTTTTGCTTATCGGTTCATCGACTATACTATTACATCCCTAATTCTGGTAGCAATGCAGATTTTGCAGACTGACCGACAGATGTCTAGAAGACTACCGGTAGTCATTAAACCCCTCTAAAAACAACTTAAAAAACAAGTGGTCCTGTCGAACCTTAGAGACTAACAAATATCTATATAGTATCACAAGCTCTCATCGGAAGAAGTGGGTTTTGCCCATGATACACTCTCTCATTCTCACTCTCTATATATTAGTCTCTAAGGTGCTGTAGGACCACTCAATTTTTAAGTTACAGACTAACAAGTCTGTTATCCCTCTGAGCCTATTAAACCCCCTTGTTCATTCTGAAATCTTAAAATGATGTAGATGGGTGAAGGGGCCCCCAATGACATGGAGAAGTAGGGTTCTAGTGGGCAAGAGATAAGTTTGGATACCTGCGTAGTTGTCAGGAGCCTCTGGCAAAATTAATCTGGTCTAACGCTACATTAACTTTGATCTTTGAGTGGCACAGCCACATAACCTATTTTTTAGTGCAGAGAGAAAAGATCTCAGTCATGAAAAATGGTGCTACGTGTTTTCTCCTCTGCAAGTCAACCCATCCCAGAACAAACACAATTTTAAAAGCCCTCCCAAAGGCTTTAGTGATCCAGGCAAATTTGGGGTGATCAGATTAGTCAGGTACAGACAAGATCAGAAACTACATGACACTCAAAGACAAAAGGTACATCTACACGGCGGCACTATTTTGGGAAACTTCCAGTATCCCGAAATAGCTATTCCACATCTTGACAATACGCCTGTTATTTCGAAATAACAGGCTCACTATTCCAACATCCCTGTAAACCTCATTCCATGAAAATTAAGGGACATTTTGCTGCTTTTGAGAAGCAGCTCGTGTTTCGTGGGGCATTTCTCAGACCCTCAGTGTCTCTCTACATTCTCAGGCCTTTTGGCCATGCCACCATTAAGACTGACAGGAAAAAGATTAGAAGAGGGAAAGATAGATAGGACCTGCCTAGGCAAGCTGCACAGGAAATACGCCTGGGTTTTTTGCTATTTTCTGGATCTATTTACGTGATAGCACAAAATGGTTTTGATTTTTTCAGGGAGGAAGGTGTCAGTTAAAAGGGAAGGGGGAAGGCTGTTGGCATTTTCTCTTGCCCCCCACATCCATACATGGCTAGATTAAGATATTAACCACAAGAGCACATTAATACCGAAAGAGAGACATCTAGTGGCTATGACATTAAAAACACTCCACAGGCCTGCCAGGACACAATACGTGCTTTTTCGGGGCTACTTGTTCATCCGTCATTACCAAAGTGCAAGGAAGAAAAAGAAAATAACATGTGGCCACTGAACAGAGGAATGAACGCTGAATCCAGGGTGCCAGTCTTGTCATTTTTCTGAGTGCACCTAGCTTAAAGGCACAAAGCTGAAAAAGGCCGTGCACACCCCTCTGCTGTAAACGCTGCAACAACGCTGCGACTGCTCCAAAGCCCACAGAAATCGAGGTTCTGCATGAGCGTTCAGTCAAGCACTTTGTGACCGTCCTGCGTCACACTGAGAGATCAGGGTCATTGGGTCCTATGGTGGCAGCTCAAACTAGATCTTCTGAGGTAGGAAGAAATGTAGGTGACTTGCCATAGCACTGGGCAGGTGCACCACCCTCTGTGATCTCACCAAAATTTTAACTGCTAACTGGGGTGTCCCCACATGGCCCCTCTGGGTGACCCCCCAGAATCAGTCGCCTGTGAGAAGAAATGGGTGTCAAAGCAGAGGAAGAATCCCAATGGCCCATTCAGAATACGAATAGGAGAAGAGAGGAGGGGAGATTGGGAGCGGGGAGAGTACAAAAAAGTCTCTCCAGTTCACCAGAGCATTTCAGTCTGACTTGTGTGCGCAGCCTTCACGTGATTCCTTCATGCATCTCTTCGGTCATGGTCACAATTCCCGAGCAAGCTGCGCTTCAGAGCCCTTACACTCCCTCTTGAACTCACCCTGCCAGTGACACTTCTTCGCTCCCCGGGGTGGGACCATGCTGCCCAGCTCAGGGCCTCCCCCCTTTTCCCAGCAGCACTAACCCAGCAGGTTCGGCTGTGTTTGGCACTTGCAAATGCTTTGCCTACAGGGGCCTGCGATTTGACCGGCCAGTGGGTTAAAGTGACTCAAAAATTGCTTCTTTGCAGCCAAGCACGAAGTACATCGCACGCAGGGAGAAGGGATAAAACAACAGTCTCCTACTGAGGTCTCTTCCAACTCGGAGCCTCCTATGTGCCTGGCTCCTGCCTCAGCCAACACTGGCAGAAGAGAATAAGGTGAAGTCCCACTGAGACCAGACCTTCCTCCTTCTGGGCTACAGCCCCCTCCTGCTTTGTCTGTGTCAGACTCCTCCCCAGCCACCGCTGTCCACCCAACCCCCTTAGACAGGATCTTGACATTTTTAGTGTCCTCATTGAGCCTGTCTTTGGGCCTGAGAAGACTGGAACCTGCTAGAGTCAGGCAGGAGCGTTCCCCAGTTAGACTAAGTTCTGAGGAGCAGAGACTGTCTCTTTGTTCAGCACCCCGCACATCACCATGGTTTCCTGCAGGACCTTCTGTATTCTCTGCCTGTATTTTATTTTTGCATGTGTCTTCCTCCCTGCCAGCCGCCTTTGAGTTAACTCCTTGCAGTCAGGCAGGATAACAGCAGGCAGACAAATTGACGTACATAACATGGTCATAAAAAAAATGCTGATAACACTTTCCTTCTCCACGTGTGTGAACTCATATTCGTCATCTTTTTTTAAGCTGAAATTCTCAGAATGAATTTAACATATTTAGTAACATGAATATACATAGGAAATTCATGCTGTCTTCAAATATTTTTCCCTGCACCGTGCTTTATTAATGGAGCTGAGAGAAAGCTTTGTGATTAAGGCTGAAACCATATGAAACCTGACGGGTTTGTGGTTGTCATGATGAATTCAAAGCTCAGAGTACGTTTATGGAGAAATTCCTCAGGTCGCCAAGACTTTGAGCCAACTTGGACCCCGTCTCCAGAAGGTCCAAGATGATTTATGGTGTTACCCGATAGCCATTTAAATTCGTGTTTGCAGTTCGCACAGGAAGGCATGTGGTGGGCATTTCGCCTGGATCAACATAAAAGAACCAGCTTGAGAGAACCAGTGTAAACTGAAGCTAGTTGGTTTCCATATGGTTCTCGCTCTTCTCAGTTTGCCTCACTGACTCAATACTCAGGACCATGTGAAGATTCAGTTTTCTTCCTTTCTCTGAAGACTGCATGTTGGCCCAACCAACAGAGAAAGAGCCGCTTTCCGGGAGCCAGCAAACTTGTGACATTTTGCCTGGCCCACCAGACGGTGCTCAGAATAATTCTCAGAACCTACGGTTGGCATTCGCCTAGCCTTTGTACTTCCTATTCTGGTGGAAAGAAGGCAATCTTTAATTAATAGGATGTTAATCATTATGAATAGGGCATATGGAGACCTAGACAGTAAATGGCTTCATTTTTATAGCTTTTGGATGACTAGCTGGCTAGTACACATTACACATGTCAATTAAAAGTAATGGCATAAAATGGAATATACATGAGTGAAATATTCATCAGGATGGCCCCTAAACAGATGAAATATCCATCTTCCTATTTTGTCATCACTCCTGTAGGATATCACCAAACCTTAGAAGCCTGCATGTTTGAGGATTCATTTCTTTTTAGATTTGTTTCGAGATTATACTTTGTACACATTCTTTTCTCATCTTCCTTCGGGAAATGTCTTTTTGCACTCCAGGAAGGTAACAAGAGGTGTTGATTTTGCAGGCAAAGCTTGAAGAAATAGCTAGCCTGCTGCTGGTTCTCAGCTGTGCTCCCTATCTTGATATTTTGTCCGCTTACCTGTGACTTGTGCTATTGAGTGCACACCAAAGAACACCAGACCCTTTGTGAAGAAGGAAAACACTCCCATGTGCACCCAAAACAAGAAAAGTCATCATGTTACAAGGAATCGGAGGTGAGGGATTAGCAAAGTCTCTCTCGCCAAGGATGTATAAACAAATCAGATACACACTTTCCTATTTCTTGCATTTCTGCACGCAACTGCTGTTTTTCCTATTCATTAGTAACAGACTGTTTAGACAGAGTCATGAATAGCGTCATAACTCCATGGCCATCTTTTGGCCAGAGGTGTCCCTTGAGTGCCCACTATGGCTGCTCAGAACTTGATCGCCACACCAGAGGAACATTTCAGATCCTCTTGTTCCCAGAACCCAGGTTCTACCACTTGCACGTGGGTTGTAAACTCTTCAAGGTAGAGACTTTTCCTTTTGCAGTTGTACAGTCTCTCACACCCTGGGTCCTGGTCTAGATGTCTGGCTCCTAGATGCTACTACACTACAAACATGATCCAGATGCAAATGTGAATTTCTGCTGGCAGTATAGGGCCTATGACACACAATAGCACCATTTCAATTGTGCTCAGAAGAGCAACCAGTTTAATTCTGTCTGAAAACATAGCCAAACATATGCATTCTACAAAGTGACCAGTGAAGCTTGGCCTTCTGCTACTGATCAGTACAGTGATGTAAAACAAGACAGCAATGTCTAAAGAAGATGCTCTGTATCGCCGTTCTCTTGAGGTCTGTGTTGTGCAGTATAAACAGCTAAGAAAATTAGCTATTTAGAACAGTCCATACACCTGTTATTGTATTGAATCATTTCATACTCTGAGATACGTTGTGGTAATTATCTTCTCTCTCTCCTACTTGTCCTGTTCAACTTATTCCTGAAATTTCTCTCTAAAACATGGCCTTTCAATGTACGTATCTTCTTTTTGTTGCCAGATGAAGTATTTTCCATGCTCGCTTTGGCATTTCATAAGCTAATAGAGAAGGATGTCTTGTTTGGGGCAATTTAAAGAGCCACAAACAACAATACATCGGAGAACTGATGTTTCTTTAGCCTACCCCCCAGCTAAGCTGCGTAGGAGTTCAGTAGGGCTGACAAAACATTGGTCCAGACACGCAGCGGGGTCTGTTGAAGACAATGGAGTTACACAGGTTTATGCCAAAGGAGAATCCAGCTCGGTCTATTTTTTTCTGCACCTCAGTCTCTGCGGTATTGAAATGGAACAAGTTCAGAGATGAATGTTTTGGACCCTTCAGTTGTCTGGCGGCGGCTGATATTAGGACGAAGATTTATTCACAGGGTTTGCGCTTCATTTGCTATTATTCTATTTTGCGAGCTCTGATCCTGAGGTGTGATGGGGCTGATTTGCAGCACGAAGCAGCCACCAAGTCACTAGATCTGGCCTTGGAAGGCTCTCTCCCACACCACTTTCTATATAGCCACGGACCCCTACGCCACGTCACCTATGGCAGCAATGGGCAACCAAGTACAGTGAGCAGGCCGCACGAGTGGCCTTCCATCTCAGTGGGCTGCCACTGCCTGTGGCCTGCCGGACTTCCACCTGTGGCTCAGAGTCCCCCTCTGCGCCCCTCCTCCATGTGCCTCTCGCATACTGAAGCGCGGGGAACCCTGCAATACCCCCTCCTCCTGCCTCTCTCCCAGCCCTCTCAGAGCACCACAAATCTCCTGATTCACGCTCTGTCCCTCCTCCTACTCCTCCATCCCACAGCTTGAACAGCTGAGTTTCTCTGTGGGGCAGGGAGGAGGGAATAAATACCACACACATCACTAGCCCCTTCACCACTCCGATGGTGCAAAGGGCCCTAAGATGGCCAGGGCTGTCCAAAGGCCAGGGCAGCTGGTTTGCAAATATTTTGGTGGTGCCCACGGTGCCCAGCGCCTGCACCCTTCCCCCACTCAGACTCTTACCTACCTCAGGCTCTGAGAGGGAATTTGGGTGGGGGAAGGGTGCAAGCTCTGGTCTGGAGCAGAAGATTGGGGGACAGGAGGGGAGGTAGGCTCTGGGAGGGAGTTTGGGTGCAGGAGGGGTGGAGACTCTGGGCAGGAATTTGGGGGTGGGGTGCAGTGTGCAGGCTCATTAAGTGAAGCAGTGAGTGCATGGAGACCCTATCCCCTTTCCTCCCACCAGCTGCAAGGACACACATGCTGACAGTCTGAGGGAGTGTCTGGAAGCCACTAACAACTCCACTGTGCTGCCAGCAGGGCCCCCAGGGAGCAGGGGGCAAGGGAATGCAGGCAGACAGGGAGTTTTGATGGAGCGCATTCCAGGATCAGGAATATTCCTGGTGCTGGAGCACCACAGGCCCATATAACTCACCCCCTATGTACAATGGGGCAATGGTATGAATGTGACTAGGTCCATTACGCGCCCACAATGATTAGGCAACTGCACGCTCACTGAGACAAGAGTGTCACGTTTGAAAATGCACCGTGTACGCTGTCTGTAAGAATACGTCCAGAGGGCATATTATTTGTATCTTGCACAGACCCTGCAAATGGGCATTAAGCATTTCTCCGGACTCTTTGTGATGTTGTGCGTTGGATTTGCCTTGTCCATTCTCACCACCATCGGGGAACATATTGTACACAGATTAGTCCTGCCGCGCATCAAAAAGAAATCCAAGATGAAATACTGGCTCCATACAAGCCAGGTACGTATGCAAGAGACTCACTGGTAAGTCCCTCAAGTGTTTCCAGACCTGTTCAGTAGAAACCACAGAAGTCAGACAAACAACCACTGTTGTTAATGGGCATGGACACTGGCCTATAGTATGTGCCGCTTTGCTGTTCTAACAGCATCTGTTGCCGTTGCCATGACTCCAGTCAGATCAGGGGCAGATTCTAACATCCATTCTGTTAGGGTGCGTCTACACTGCACTGTTATTTCGAGATAACTAGCGTTATTTCAAAGTAACAATGCACAAGTCTACACAGCCATTCCGTTATTTCAAAATAATTTTGAAATAACAGACGGCTTATTCCAAAATCTGTAAGCCTCATTCTATGAGGAATAACGCCTATTCCGAAATAAGGCGTGTGTAGACACTCTACTGCTGCTATTTTGAAATAGCCCCTCACCAGGGTCGTTCTAAGTTATTCCTCCCCAGTGCCTCCTGGGGCTCTAAATTGAGTTTGCACGTCTACATTAGGGGAGCCTGCCTTGGACTAATTTTGAGGCTTCCCTGCAGTGTAGACGTGCTATTTTGGAATAAGCTATTTTGGAATAACTGCTCCGGGAATAGCTTATTTTGAAATAAGCATGCAGTGTAGGCATACCCTAATTGAGTATCCAGGGGGAACTAATTCGAGAGACAGTAATGTTATTTCTCAGACCAGTCAACCATTCTCGAATAACGTGGAGGAGGAAGTCAATACTGGCATAGCAGGTGACATTTTCCAAGTAGCCTCCACATGGATGGGGGGTCTCAGTAGAGTGCTAATGGTGATGCACATTGGCAAGAGAATTCCAGACTTACATATGCACTGCTCAGTAGACAGCAGCCCTGAAAATGGGAGGCCTTATTTGCATTTACATTAAGGCCCCTAAGTACCTAGCCTAGCATGTTTGGACTAAAACTGGATGGAAAACAGTGTAGGAAAACTGTGCAATAACACTACGAATAGAGACTGAATAACGGTGCAATTTTATCTCAAGCTTGGTTTAATTTGGCCCTGCCATTGTCAAAGAGGTCAATGGTAGTTAGAAGCACGCTAGGGACGATGAAGTTTGAAATCAAGATTATGTAACATTGAAAAAGAGGCATCAGAAGGGACTCGAAGTAGGCTGTGTGTTACACCAAGTACATCATCACTAACACCCCCTTCTTTAACATGCACGTGACAAAGTGGGTCTTTGCCCACGAAAGCTTATGCTCCAATACATCTGTTAGTCTATAAGGTGTCACAGGACTCCTCATCACTTTTGCAGATTCAGACGAACACGGCTACCCCTCTGATACTTGACCTCCTTCTTTGTGCTTCTCAATTGCTGCTGCTTCATATCCCACAAACTGCACTGTTGCCTTTGTGTGCTAGCTGCATTGTGAGACTGCCGTTCCCAAGCGGGGCAGTGTGAGTTTCTGGTATCCCTCCTTCCTTCAGTGAATATTTGGATCTTATTTTTCCATGCGCCAGAGAAAGATGGCATCTCTGTAGCCCCATCTAAATGCATGTGCTTAGTTTATTGATAAGGAGATCATGCAATACCACGTCCACTACTTCTCCCTTATCCACAAGACTTGTTATGCTATCAAAGAAAGCTATCAGATTGGTTTGACATGATTTGTTCTTTACAAATCCATGCTGGCTGTTCCCAATCACCTTATTTTCTTCCAGGTGTTTGCAGATGAATTACTTAATTACTTGCTCCATTATCTTTCCTGGCACAGAAGTTGAACCGACTGGTCTGTAGTTTTCCTAGGTTGGTCTTAGTTCCCTTTTTATAGATGGGCATCGTATTTGCCCTTTTCCAGTTTTCTGGAATCTCTCCCGCCTTCTATGATTTTTCAAAGATGATAGCTAAAGGCTCAGATACCTCCTCTATCAGCTCCTTGAGTATTCTCGGATGCATTTCATCAGACCCTGGTGACTTGCAGACATTTAACTTTTCTAAGTGATATTTAACTTTTTTTAAAAATTTTATCTTCTGAACCTACCCCTTTCCCACTAGCATTCGCTATGTTAGGCATTCCTTCATCAGACTTTTTGGTGAAGATGGAAACAAAGAAGTCATTAAGCACCTCTGCTATTTCCAAGTTTCCTGTTATTTTTTCTCCCTCCTCACTGAGCAATAGGCCTACCTTGTCCTTGGTCTTCCTCTTGCTTCTAATATATTTATAGGAGCCATCATAGAAACCTCCTGGGTTGTATTTCTCTATGCAGTTGAGCAAAGGCAGCATTTGCTGGAACGTAGAGATTGTCTCTCTCAAGTATGTCAGCTCCTCAGCTGGTGCATCACCATGCCCTATCATTGACCTTAACTGAGCTAACTCATCTTACACCAACCAACAATCTGGCCTAAGGTGAACTGCTCCAAGTCCAGTGAGAGACTGACTTCAGCAGCAAGTTGAATTTTGCCAAGAGCTTGGAACAAGTTATAAAAGAGAATGGCTGTGGACGTTTCCTTCTTACACATCATTAGTCAGGTGAAAGCATGTCAGGGAAGACCCGATTTGTATGCCTGAGGACTGAGTCACTCTTAAGGTCCAAATTAAGCATGACAACAGTTTATCTATAAATACTAAAATATGAAAGGGGGTTGTTGATTTTCAGTGTGTGTTTAAAAAAAAAAAAAAAACCATGCACACAACTACTTTGTTTAAAGAGCGTGAACCAAACCCCCTTGAGCTTTGTGATCACTTGAATTTTAATATGATATAAACTAGCAAGAATTTTAAGTAATATCTTGTATTGGTGTATTGGTTCCCAAGCTGTCTATTTATGTATAAAATGTGAGTCCAGCTCCTCTAGCAGTGTGCTTGCACTAAAGTGAGGGAAATGTGTTTATTTTTTTGCCTTGGAGTATCTTATCTAATAGATAGACCTTTTACCAGAAAGGAATGTAAGAAAAAAAAAATAAGTTGACATCAAGAAATCAACTACTCTTGCTCCAGAAATAGCAGGCTTGTGTCAATGAATACAAATTGGACATTGTGTTTGTAGCCCTGCATGTGCAAAATAAATGCTACATACAGATGGATCCCAAACAAAAAGAGTCATCAGCACCCAAACATAGGAGCTCTTTTTCCTCTTGTGTTTAATTCCTCCTCTGTTCCACTTCTTCTAGAGATTGCATCGTGCATTAAACAGTTCGTTCACTGAGGAAAAGCACCAGCTTAAGACAAAACGAGTCGAAAAAAGGTAAGGAGGTTGTGTGAGCTTTTTTTTTAAAAAAAAAAAAAATAGGGGCTTGTTTTATAACTGGATCTGTTGGGACTGGATATCTGACCATGAGCTTAAATGTCTCCTAGAGATGAAGATAAAACACGACAGAAAAAAGGTACTTTAACTATTAGACTATTGTTAGAGGCTGCAGTTCTTTGGATGTCCCAAAAGAAGCAGAAAATGAATTTTAATTGGGTTAATATGGAGCTACGTACATTTTATCTACCCTGCAATCATAAATTTAAAACCCATTTTCAGCCCCCATGCTTATGTAAGGGGACTGTTACCCCTTACTAAAACTCTGTGGGAGTTTTTTGGTTTGCCAGCTCCCAGCTTCAGAAGGGGAAGGGTTCATGAGACTGACAGACCCCAGAGACAATGGAAAGCAGTCAACACTCCAGCTCAGCCTGACTGACAGGTTGTAAGCGGGGATTGTTCTGGCTCTTTCTGAGCAAACAGAGAGCTGAAAAGAGCAGTGCAAGCTCTGTGAAGAAGCCCTGCAAAAGGAACAGAGAGCTGAGACACTGCTAAGAGGAGTGCAAGCTGTGCTGAGGGGCAGTTTTTGCAGCAGCAGAGCCAGGCATACACAGCTCAAGGGGTGCAGACCCTGTGTTGAGCAGCAGACTGGCAATGCTCAGAGAGCCAAAAGGAACAGAGAAGCAACACAAGGAGCTGGAACTGGCCAAGCAGCATAGCCTGCAGCTGGATATGGTGAGCAGCTGGGAACTGCAAAGTGTGGGGAGAGGCTCTGGACTGGGAGAGGGGTCTGGCCACTTAGAGCTTGAGGCTGTGTGGTCACTGCCAGAGCAAGCAAGTCCAGCCTGCAGCCCTCCCCTTGTAGTCCCCCCTGCAGCATATCCAGGGCCTCTAAGAAAGAGACTGTGAACTGTCCTTACACTCTGCAGACTGCTGTTTTGATGTTCCTGTGCTACAGAGCAGGGCTGTGTGTTCTCATTTAACCATTCTCATTTTGTCTTATTCTTTTCTCTTTAATCAGTTGATGTTTAATAAATTGTATTTGCTTTGAACCTTATGAAGTGATCACTGGGCCAAGAAGGCCTGCAGTGTAAAGAGAGCACCTCGGAGTGGGGACACCCTAACTCCTGCCCCTAGTGACTACAAGGTCAGGGATTAAGCCCCAGGAAACCTGGGCCCAGCCTTGTTGGGGTTCCAAGGGCTCTGCTACTCAGGAGAATGGAGGGGGAGCCCTCAGGATCAAGAAGCCGTGGGGTAAAGGAAGTGGGAGCGGGGACTCAGATCCTTTCGCTGGTTCATTTCACCGGGGTGTATAGAAGCCAGGAAAGTTCCCCACAATAGCGGGATCATTCCCCCGCTTACACTTATCGCCAGCTGTGAATTCTCATAAATACTGTTGACCCTTCTTCTGATAGCAGTGTTGTGTTATGACAAGAGCGTCACCCCCTGACAAGCCATAACAGGTGACTGGGACATACAGGTTGGGTCTCCCATAAAGGAAGAATTGGTGATTCGAAGTGTAGGTATGTGCGTGTACAAATAGCAGCAAGGGTCAAATAGCAGCAATCCCTTCTCAAGAATCTCAGCTCAGCCCAGGTCACAGTGCTCAACTCTGCATCAGGCATTAACTAATTAGAGACCAACTCTGAGCGCAGTCTCTCCTCCTGCTGGCACAACTGAAGCCGTGCCTACACAGAACCTTGCATAACCAAATACACCGAGACAGCATGTTTTCCTAAGACTAAACACTTGCTCACGTGCTAAGAAAAAAGAATTTGAAAGACTGCGGATACATCGCTGCTGCAAATGAAGGTGTGGTTGTAGTATGGGCACACACATGTGTGTTTGCTATTGTTACCTGTACTAACTAGATAAAAGCTGTGAAGATGTAGGAGCATAGACCGTGCCCTGAGCAGCAGCCTAGAAGACCTAATATGCTCATACTGATGCGACTAGCCTAAAGTGCTACCAGACCATTTGTTGTTTTTTAAGTTTATCCTGTACAGTCTAACTCGGCTACCCCCTGAAGCTTATTTCTTCAATGTTTCTTTACTCATCCTAGCTAGATTAAAGCTAGCAAGCATGGGCTACATTCACACCTTCATTTGTAGTATAGAATCACAGAACACTAGAACTGGAAGGAACCTCAGAAGGTCATCAAGTCCAGTCCCCTGCCCTCACGGCAGGACTAAGCGCTGTCTAGACCATCCCCGATAGATGTCTATCCAACCTGCTCTTAAATATCTCCAGTGATGGGGATTCCACAACCTCCCTAGGCAACTTATTCCAGTGTTTGACCACCCTGACAGGTAGGAAGTTTTTCTCTAATGTCCAACCAAAACCTCCCTTGGTGCAATTTAAGCCCATTGCTTCTTGACCTGTCATCAAAGGACATAGCCTTAGTGCCACGGGTCAAAATAATACCATCTTTTTGAGGCAATACTGCTAGGAAATGACACACACCCAGAATACAAAGTACGGATGAAGACAGAGATCAAGATAGACAAAATCTCCATGCATAGTGTCCTGGAGAGAATCTCTGCATGGCTGCAATGGACACACAGAATCATAGGACACTGTAACAGGAAGGGACCTCGACAGGCCCCCATGTCCAGTCCCCTGCCCTCGTGTGTTTGTTAAGTTTGAAATGACAGCCGGAAAAAAATAATTGGTTGATTGACAGATGAGGGTCAGCCTCCACAACACCCTGCATCTGGCTTCCTCAGCAGCCTAGGCAGGAAAACCACAAACCAACGGACAAGAAACCCAAAGGAAACACTGAACAAGAAGGTTTTTTGCCCCTTCTGGGCTACACTTCCCTCTCACCTGGGCCTCCACACTCTCTCCTTGGAGGCCCTGCAGCTAGCCAAGCTGCTGAGTCTCTGGGGTTCTT